CCAATGGTCCTTGAACTAGTCTCATATGATATTCAACCAAATTTAAGCTTAAAATCTTGACTTTTGATCACAATCTCTTTATTCTACATGTGTCACTTAAAAAACTGATGAAAAAAAAACAGTTTTCTCTAACCAGATTCTGTAAAAAAAAAAGAAAAAAAAGAAAAAGAAAAATATATATATGTATATAAAATTTTGGACTCCACGCTGCAACTGTGAAGCCATAGCTGACTGTATAACTGTATTAAACTGCCCAGTAGCTCTGGCTGTTTCTAGCTATGATTGTGCTGTTTCCTTAGCAGTGAAAAATGAGGCTACGGTGAATAAAACTGTGACTGGAGCAAGAAACACCCACAAACTGTTTGGAGTTCAGAGGGTCAAAAACCCCTCAAAAGAAGAAAAAAAAGTGAGTTTTCCTAATAATACTGATAACTTACCTCATGAACAAATCACGAAACCGCTCTCGATGCCCAAGAAGAACATCTGGAGAGATGCCTGTGAAGCAGAGGACACGATGGATTTAAATCTTGAGCTAAAGCAGCAGAGTTTAACTGAATGAAAAAAAAAACCTGTGTTGCTCACGGCTGTGAAGCTTGAACATCAGTCGCACAGAGAAGTGGTAGAGAAAGCTGCAGTCCAGTATGAGCGGTATCAGTGGAGTCAGCCTGCACTGTCCAGCTGGGGTTGTGGATTTGGCTCCGTTGGCATCCAGCTGACGCAAAACTTTGAGAAGAAAAGCATGACACAAAACAAATAATTTCAATCTGTTGCTCATTTATTGTCCAAGAACTGTTAAAAACCCATAGGGGCAGCTGTGGCTCAGGTGGTAGAGCGAGTCGGTCGATGATCGGAAGGTCGGCGATTCCGCCCTGTAACCTGTTTCATGGTCATTGTGTCCTTAGGCAAGACACTTCACCCGTCTTGTCTGGTGTGAATGCGTATGAATGGATTGTTTGAGGTGGTGGTCGCAGGGGCAGAATGGCAGCCACGCCTCTGTCAGTCTGCCCCAGGGCAGCTGTGGCTACAATCGTAGCTACCACCACCAGAATGAATGTGTGTGAATGAATAA